TTTCCATTTTTGCTCACGTTTGTGGTGGCCTATTTTGTTTCCAACCAAATGTTGATGACATAAATGTTTATGCTCATAAAAGTATCACAGCAAAGATTGTCAATCACAAATGTAATTTAGATTAAAGTAAAAATATCTTCAACAAAAAAAAAGTCCATCATCTGTCATCACCTTTCAAATAAAAAAATATAATTAAACATTATAGATGTCTCTGCAATGTGGTCTCTTGTCTTCCTTGTATTATTTTTCATGTCCACTAGATGGCGATCGGTAGGATTAAAGCACTGATATTCAGGATCTATTCATCTTGAAAAATCGTAATCTGGATCAGGCTGATTCCAGCGCATGGCGCTGATCCTATCCTGAATTGCTTTGAACTCCAGGGACAAAATCTGGCCGATTTGTCTGATCCTGGATCACAAAAAATGGGATTTCAAAATCGGATCGGATCTGATTGGGATTAAAAGTTTTGAACTCCTGGGCCCAGGTGATAATATTGTTAAAATAGATTACTGGATCCATGGATCGATTGAGGAGAACCCAGTTGTTACGGTGGGTGAAGCAAGCAGGACCCAAATGCAGATTACACTGATATTGCCTTTATTTCAAGGATAAAATAATAACTTGGACAAAACAGATCACTCACCGGTGAACTCAGTCACAAACAAAAGACGAACCAACACTGAACACAGGAAGAGGCAAGACTAAATACAGGGAGGGGTAATCACAAGACGAGAAACAGCCGGGCAGGGGAGGAGAAACACAAGGGCCACAGGTGAACACAATCAGACACACCAGGGAAACTAACGACAGGAGGAAAAACACAGGGAAAAGGACCAGACAATATACCAAGAGGAAAACATGACAGGGAGAACAGCAAAACACCCAAAACAAGACATACAAAACGTGACATAACACAATAATCGTAACACCAGTGTTTTGTCTGGCCCGTCAGTATGGACTGCTATACCTAGAGACCCTCACCCCAGAGAACCAAGGCGTGGACATTGAAATTAGTCCCCACCAAGCTTCCAACTTCTTCAGCAGTTCAGGTCGCCAGAAGGTTAAAAAAAAAAAAACTGTTAACACTAAGATAGTTCAAAATAGTTAGAATCTGTACTTTAGAGTTGAATCAAACTTTATAACACACATGAATAGGCCTATTCACAGGGACTGGATTAAGTGGCAGAAAACTAGGCTATAAGGTGCTAATGGCTGTGTCATTGATTATTTACCATTTTTGTACAAGTGTAACCTGATGACATCTCCCTTATTGGTATTCTGTTGCTTGTGTAATTTTCAGGTAGGAAGCTGAATACTGAAGATGTATATCCTGCAGAGGAGATGTTTTATGAGCTGATGAAAGTTCAAAATGTGAGAGTCAAGGAGGAGAACCCTGGGCCTGTGTGGGAGATTTCATACATTCAAATGTACATTTCTCTCAGTGACAGTAATAACACTGGATGAGGACAAGATTGGCTTTAATATTTCAGATGTTCTTTATATTCTTTATATACACGTTTAAAAATAAAGAGTTGTTTTGTTTCATGTTTTCTGGCCCAGGCTGAACAACGAGCAGTAGAGAAGTGGAAAGATATAGATGCAGCTACCAGATGTCTGCGACTGTGTGTGATCAGTAACATGTTGAAGGTCGAGTGCTGTTTTAATGGGGCTCACAGTATGGATGAGGTGGGCCTGGGGGCCTATGGTCTGTACACGACTCTACCTGGGCTCGACTGCACATTCCCTGGGTTAGTACATTGCATATAAAGTGCAAAAACTATTAATATAAAACTCAAATAAACCATTAATTCCTGCATTCACATAAAGTACCTATTCAGTCTGTTAACTATCTGATTGTCTCAGCACACAGGTGCATGTCCACCTGACCTTAATATCTTTTTCTTTTTCATGCAGTGGAAGGTCTAATCAAAAACTTGATGTCGGAGCTCCCCAGGGATTTGGTGACTTACAACCGACCTTTTCGCTGTGTCCACTGGAACAACACAGAGAAGGAAGAAAACTATTTGATGATCGAGTGTGATGATGAGAAGAAGATAGCTGCTGATCATGTCATTGTCACAGTACCTCTAGGTACATTTAAAGATGTATATTCACAAACTCAGTTTGCAATTTTGCATCTCAGAGCAGGAAATCTACAGACATGACACAGTGCAAAAAAGAGACTTGAAGTGAGGGTAACATTGCCGATAATCATTTATGTTAGGCATGCAGTTAAAATAACAGTCATCTATTGGCTTAAACAAAAAACTAACAAAATTAAAGAATTCTATCACAATGAATTAACCAGTGCTATTTTACGGCAGATCAGGAATTCTTTGGCATCATTTACTCTATCTACTAACCATCATCTAACTTGTTCTGGTTTTCTATTTTTTTCATCAGGATATCTTAAGAAGCACCATTCAACCCTGTTCAGTCCTCCTCTCCCTCTACACAAACTGCACTCTGTTGAGAGACTAGGTTTTGGAACTACCAATGTAATATATGTGGAGTTTGATTCCCCGTGGTGCTGACTGTGAAAACATCTATTTCGTGTGGGAAGATGAGTAGTAACTCAAACCACTCAAGTCAAACAAACACAGATGTGTAAACAGAACTGGATACAGCATGAATCCTGTTCACAAGTGTGCATGAAGCCATAATGGTTTGACTGATACAGATCTTTCCGTAATCTCCTGCGTCGATGGGCCCAAGGGCTCTAGGGTTTTCTTCAACCCTGCCTCCAAACCACTCAGTCTCTTGCCCATTCCCATGAAAGGCTGCACAAATAACTCTGTATTTAACAATAAATGATTACAACTTTAAGAACCTAATGATTTAAAAGGGGCTGTTTGTGTGTTCAAACCTCGAAGCTGATTTACCCCAAATTAATGATTTGCTGATTTACAGACGTTGGTTTACCAATATAAGTCAACAGGCTTTTTTTTTTCAAATGTTAAACAGGTTGGGGGACTTTTGACATGTAGAGGAAAGTTTAAACGTGAAAAAATTCAGTTTTTTTTAATATTGCTTTAGCAAAAAAAATCTGAAGTACCAGTAGGCCTACCACTACCCAATGATTATGCTTCATTCTTCAGACGCCTTCTTGTTCACCTGTGACCTAAAAACATCTGACCATGTGTTAACATATAGAAAAATACTACCCTCTTGTGGTAAATTACACTTATGTAAAATAATGAATTGAATACATTAGAAAACTTATAAATATACATGCTGAATTTCCCCTCCAGTAATGACTGATTTTCCTTTTGCGGTATTATAATTGAATGTTAAAGGGATTATAACCAAGGACAAAAAAGTTGAATGGCCAGATATCAGTTTTATTTTGAAACTCTTAACCGGAAAACATGTTGTATTTGTTGCTTATGTTTCAGGAGGAAGTATAACCGTTAACAAAAAGTAGTATTGTATACGTGCAGAGTCCGCTATGGCTATGAGTGTGAATGCTAAAGTAGTTATAGTAGGATGCGGGATTTCAGGTATAGCAGCTGCACAAAGACTCGTTAACGCTGGATTTCAACATGTGCAAATACTGGAAGCGACTGCAAGAAGCGGAGGAAGAGTCAAAACCGGCACACTGGGTGAGATGTGTGAAACAGCCACCGATCAACACAATCTATTGCAGCGTCTCAAAGGTTACAGTGTTATCGCTTGAATGTTTTTATTAGCCTACCTCGCAATATGTTGTTACATTTCCTCTGATCCGATCCACAAAACAAGAACGAGTTCTTAAAGGAGCCTAAAAAAACAACAATATTTAAACTTCTTTACATTTCATTTAGCTCGCCCTTTTATCCAAATAAGTGCAGATCAACAAGATAGGAGGGCATATATCTTTCTTCTAATAAGCCAAACCATTGTAATTGTTGGTGCATCAGTTTTGAAAATACCATTTTATCTATTTGTTTATTTGGAGTTTTCAGTTTGTGATGGAAAATATGTGTGCTCTTTACAACATTTTGGGGCCAAGATAGCAAACAGGCTTGTTTTTGTTGAGGTTTACCTGGGTCCAACTTGCAGTGAAGAAGGAGCAAGCCCATTGCCTGATGCAGAGCAAAGTGCACGTCAATCAATCAATCAATGTTTATTTATATAGCCCAATATCACAAATGTTACATTTGTCTCAGTGGACTTCACAGTTTGTACAGAATATCTGTATGACAATACGACACCCTCTGTCCTTAGACCCTCACATCGTACAAGGAAAAACTTCCAGAGAAAACCCCACAGTTTAAAGGGAAAAATGGGAGAAACCTCAGGGAGAGCAACAGAGGAGGGATCCCTCTCCCAGGACGGACAGACGTGCAATAGATGCCGTGTGTCAATCGAAGAGATAATACATTTACAACATAGGTAGACTAAATGTTTGGAAATGCATGTGTGTATAATAAGAGGATGAATCCACGAGGATGTCAACAATCCTGTGGGAGCCATCAGGGAAGTAGTATGATGAGAGTCAGGCAGGACCACAGAGACAGGTTCAGCCACGACTCGACTCAGGGTCCAGGATCCAGAACACAGGATTCAACTAAAGTCTGATTTAAGACTTGATTATATTTCACATCATTCATCCAAATCTGTAAAGTAACTAAAGGGAATAAATAAATGCAGTGGAGTAAAAGTACAAAGTAGCAAAACATTTAAATACTCAAGTAAAGTACTAGTGTCTCAAAATTGTACTTCAGTATAGTACTTGAGTAAATGTACTTAGTTACTTTACACCCCTGACTCTGGTAGGATGCAGTGTAAGGCGTGTTTTTTTTTGTTCTGTAACAGTGTATTATTTCAAGTTACCTTAACACATTTATATCAAATGTAGTTATAGAAATCTTGCTTTTCAAAATATAGTGACTTTAAATCAACTTATACAATACTTATTTATAGTTTGTGAACTTCCATGAGTTATTGTAGAAAATGAGGAACAATGTAGCCTGGGATTTCTGAGTACTTCTATCCATAGTCAGGTACTTACAGTGGAGTTCAGTTGCGGGCAGAACCAAACTATCCCTTGGAGCGGAAAACTGCAACTTTGAAACCTGCTTCGCTGTGTTTTCTAAATGTGATGTTCTTTCCCTCAGTCACAGTCCAGGGACAACACACCTTTCATGTGAGTACTTCCACACACACACAAGCTCTTTCTCATATTCATGCTTACATATTTCTGTATGTACAGTATCAGATGCTGGGAGTTGAGTTGACTAAAACTCGTTTTGAATGTATCTGATAAACCACTTGAATAGGTGTGTGTGTGTATTTCCTCCGTTCGCCTGAGATCTGGTTAACACTGCTGCTCCTGGTGTGTGTCTTTTAGAGTGAGTGTCCAGAAAAGTAAGTGGGACATTTCACGCTCCATGAGGTACAACCAGGACGCTCAGAGGGAGGAAGGTAGGACGGAATGTCATTCATATCAATAATCTATCAGCTATTTAAATAGTCTTATGAATATTCTTATTTTAGTCCTTCGTTTTGACGTGTTCACTGAGTTAACATTAAGTTCGATCTTGCTGTGTTTGAATTGTTTTGTCTTTTTGAAACCAGACCAGCGTCGCATGGAGGAGATCATCGGCTACCTGACCAAGATGAGGTTTGGAGAGCAGGAGCAGAGCAGATCTAAAGACCCTAAAGAAGCAAGTACCTGTTCACAAGCACAGGACTTTGGAAATATAATGAAATGATTGGTGTAGAGCTGTCAGCCCTGCTGCCCTAGTTTGTACAGCTGCCTGACGCCAGATTGTGTGTGTGTGTGTGTGTGTGTGTGTGTGTGTGTGTGTGTGTGTGTGTGTGTGTGTGTGTGTGTGTGTGTGTTTTTTTTCGGCACACTACACCATGACAGTTTTTTCGACATTCTATATACTATGACTTTTTACATTTCAAAATTATTTTCGACATACTATATACTATGATTTTTTTCCGATCATACTTATTCTTTTTGTATCTGATATTTACGAAATACTGTACTATTACTTTGTTTCGACATCTGTTTGTTTTTTTCTGATAATTACGACATACCAAGACTTCTTTACGACATACTATGCAATTACCTTTTTTTTTACTTTTTCTTGACATACTTTAACATACAACTTGTATGTTTTTTTCAACATACTATGACCGATTTATAAAAATGACTGACTTTTTGTATGATGTTTGTACACAAAAAAACGACCCTCTCTTTTAAGACGACCTTAATCATTAAAAAACTAATGAAACCCCCAATTCTTAATCTCTTTCTTGAAACATTCCTCGAAAGGCCACTCTAATTTACTTTATCAATTACATCCAATCTTCTCTCTCTGTAGATCTAAAGTACGCTACGCTCAGATCCGGAGCACCCAAAGCAGCTGACGGGGAGAAGACCTCTGAGCCGTCTAAGAGGCGAGCATGAACACTGACGAAGAGCTCTCAAAGAGGAAGATCCTTCTGCGAGGGCTCCGCACCACAAAACTCCTTCCTACTGGCCCCCCCCGACTCTGAGCACGGCCTCCACTTATAACCCAGCTGTGGACACTAACCCTAACCCCCCCTCTGTGCTTAACTCAGGTGACTATGTACTGATCACCATCAAACCGCTGCCCTCTGTCACAGCTAGCTTCCTATTTATGCAGCTGCAGTCAGTCTCTGAAAAACACGACCCGTGGACCCCCCCCCCACAGTGTATCTGTAGGATTCTTCTCTTCTGTAGCTTGTTCTGTTTCTAACTGTCATCTCTTACAGGAGCATAGCCAGTGGATCCAGTAAACTCCACACATATGGGACTGAAAAGCTTCTTTGAGGGAGAGATAAGATCCCTGCGGTAACACAGGTTGGCTTGTTTCAATCAACAGAACATTAAACTCTGTTTCAGCAACGTTCCCCCAGTTCTGGTAGAAACATAGGTCTAGTCCTTCCTGTCTGTATTGGAACGTGACTGCACTGTACAACGCTGGGACCAATAAAACATGACACTTGTTTGACTATGGTTTCCGTCCAGTCATTGTCCACTGGGGGGCAGTGTTTCACCTTCGCAGGGGGCTCTCGACAATCAACTTTGCCCCAGTTTGACCATAACCTGTCCGCCAAACCTCTGCCAGGTGATATCAGATAATTCAGGAATCATCAAGTGTAATTAAACTAATCAAACTATTTTTTTGTGTTTTTAGACGTGGTTGATTTTTCTGGATCAAAAGGCAGAAAGGAGGCAGTTTCTTCAGTAAAAAGCCCTGGGCGGGGGGCTGGTATGTGCCACTGGGCGGGGGGTCAGCCGCTCTCTGTGTAACAGGCGCTGATCAGTGTGTGTGCTGACCCCGCTCTTCCTGTCCAACTTACGCACGGGGTATTAATAACCCTGCCTGCTGCAGCGTGGACACAGCAGAGCATACGAGATGTAGAGCGGGCTTTTTTTAAATGGTGTGTGTGG